AGCAAATTTTAGTGACGAATATTATTATAGCATGATAATCACTAATGGTATAATGTGTGTAAAGTATCTTAAATTACGAGATTATTGTATATGATTCGTAATAAGACGTGTGTGATTCATGCAGTGAATATCAAAAGACCAAGCTAGCCAAAGATTCGACGTTACCTTTCTTGCCCAGCTGTATCCCAAATTTGTAAATGTATTCGATGGCTTCTACCACGACTTTTATAGATCTGCAAATAAAATGCGGTCGCTGAGGAGACCAAGTCGAGTAAAAGTCCAGGAAAGTTGGCCAAAAAATTGGTCAAAAGTTCTTTCACCTCAGAAAGAACAAATTGATTGTTGAATTTTCTCACAAAACGAAAAATCTTCAAGAAAAGAGGGCGGATTTTATGAATCAGACGCTGAGAAAATAATTGCTTTTTTAAAACCATAGCTTTCCTGGAGTAAATATACTCGTAAGGTGGAAAAATATTTCTTTACTAATCGTTTCTCCTTGAAGTCGATTCCCACAGTGGATATGAATTTCGATGAGAATCTTCCATCAGTGTACTGGTGCAAGAAGCTGGTTTTACCAACACCCGAATCTCCTAGAGCTAGGAACTTGATAAGGTAATCGTATTCCATGATGAATTGTGATTAAACTGGAATGTTTACAATCTGCAGATAGAATACAAAATATACACATACGTCGAGCAAAATGATTTTGTTGAAAAATATGAGGAATGTGAAGTGAAAAGTGACCTTATTGAGGGGATCCCTGCTTTCCAGTTATGAAGATAGAGGATATTTATTGAAATTGACCCCTCAACACGTGTGAGGCCACATTTTACCTTCTTGCAGAAATTTGATTTGCCCCTCTAGATAACTTAAAAACAGATTGAAAAAAAAATTCAACCGATTTTTTATTTGGAAAACGAGCTTGGCTCGAAGGGGTTACCCCTGAGGCCCCTTTTGTTATCCAGGACCTGGTAAAGTGGCCTCAAAACTAATCGAAAAAAGGCTTCGAAGTAATTTAAGATTATAGAATAAAAAATGATGAATTTCTCAGTACCAAATAAATCAGAGTTCGACATGATTACAGTAATAATTAATGAACGAATGATCCACTATTTTGACATGAAGTTTCCATCTTCTTCAAATATCATTTTGAAAGGTTCCAACAGATCGAGAGTAAAATTTGTGAGACAGACTAGAGCGAAAAAATTCGACAATTCTAACTGATATAGCTGCAGTATGAACAATACTGAAGGCTGCAGTTCCTCCTACCCCATTGATTATAACAATATAACTTCTTAAATTAAGTTATCTGGTCCAAAAAAAGGATGGAGACCGTGGAGTTGAAGCATATTTTTCACAACACGATTAGTAAACGTGGAAGAGACTAGAAAGAATTCGGGATTCGCAGTCTAAATGACGAATCCTACATCTATTATATTACTCACCAATGTTCTACCGAATTAACCAACTGAGAGAATATAGGAAATGAATAAACTTAAAGTAATATTCTTAAATTACTGCATGATTGTTTCAATAACTATTTTCAATTTTCAATAATATTTTCAAAATGATAACAGCGTCATCAATATTTTTTATCATGAATAGGTTTGTTTCTTTTACGATTTGATGCACCCATACGTGTTATATTTTGCAACTTTCTCTCAATGGCGAGTGGTCAGTGGAGAGTGAAGTGCGTGACACTGACATTGACACGATAACGACAGCGCTCTAGAGCAAGACCCTGGTCTGCAAGACCCAAACCAAAACCAGAGAAAGGCAGAAACTGCTGAAAAGCTAGAGAACTAAGCTAGACCAAGCTAGGTCATAGCTGGGACCTGGAAGCCTAGGACCAAGCTAATTGTGAGATGAAGCTAGGATCAAGTTGGGACTGAGCTGGGAGTGGGACCAAGCCAGGACCCAGGACATTGCTAGAACAAGCTTGGACAAAGCTAGGACCAACCAAGCTGGAACAGGAACAACCTAGGATGAAGTTAGTTAGAATCAAGTTAGAAGGTCAGGACTAGGCGAGGGCATAGCCTATAGCCATGATCAAGCTGGGACAAAGTTCTTACCAAGTTAGGAAAAAGCTGCAACAAAACTGTTATTCAGCATGTACCAGGCTAGGATGATATCACCTCTGCAGAAGACCTCGGCAGTTGGCACTTGGTACTGGAGGGTAGGTTGCATCAACGGCCTAATCAAGTGGTAATCAACCATGATTTCCCATGCAAATTAGCTCTGGCTAGGATGATATCACCTCTGATATCATCCTAGCCTGGTACATGCTGAATAACCTGATTACCACTTAATTACTGTTCATATAACTGGCCATGCATGAGTTTAAAATGCAGTCTAGCAATAAGGCAACTTGTGTGGGCATATATCTTACTAAGTTACTATTAGCCTATTAGGACAACACTACCTCTACTCTACTTCAGGCCTCGGCACTGAAATCTGATAACCGCACCCGTAGGTACCATCGGAGGCACCAACGCTATTTCAAACTCGGAAAAATGTGAAGAAGATAAAGCGTAGGTACCTCTAAGCGCGTTTGCCAGCTTTTTTTTGTACCTCAGTGCCGAGGCCTGTAGTAGAGGTGATGTTGGTTAGAAGCTGCACTTACTCCCAAATTTCACAGATTTCAGAGCCACCTACCAAGGTCTAAGGTCTTCTGTGGAAGTGTTGGCTCAGACAAAGCTACGACCAAGGTGGCACAAAGCTGGGACTAATTGTGAGCAAGGACCATGTAAAAATTCTCGACTGAAGCCAGCCAATGTAGGTCAATTTTTTCCCTTATTTCCACGGATTGTGAGTTGGCAAGAAAGCATGAAGAAAGCAGAGTGGGGAGTGCTGATTGCTAAGAAAGAATAAAAACCAACCTATAAGTTTTTCCTTCTTTACTCACGCTGTTTTCTCATATTTTGCATTTGCGAGTTTCAAATTTCAATACCTTTTGGCTTTCAGAATCAAATTATCACTTGGAGTCTATCACAATTTACAATCAATCGAAACTGAGTGGGTATTGAAAAGGGCCTGCGACTTGTTTTTTTTTTTTTCAAGTGGTGCAGAAATTCTCCCTCAAAATCAAAGAATTAAAAATTTTCCAAGTTTTGCTGAACAATTTTCCCCCCAAATTTTTATAGTCAAGTTTGGTGAAAAAATTAAACATTTGACAAAAAATACCTTTCTTGCATTCTTGAACAATTTCTCCGGAGTGGTGCACTGCAGTGCTGCACCACCCAAAAAATTCCGTTCCGAGTGGTGCAGTTTGGTTCAGTGCACCACTTTGGCACTTTTATCGACGGTCTTGGTACTGAGAAATTTAATTTTAGGCCCCCTGTGAAGTAAGGGGACTTTCAAAAAATTGCACTCAATTCAAGGGTAAATTTGAATCGGGCGCGGGTTTTTTTATCACGGGTGTCAGCAGCAACGCTCTCGCAATTCGCTCCTTGAACGTTGAGCTCCCCAAAGACAAGGATGTAATTTTGATCAGGGTTCATGGTTATGTATGTAAATCAAGACACATATTACCAGCGAGAGTTGGAAACAGTCACGGGTCAACAAAACTGCAAGAATTCCAAAATACCGCAACGTATAACAACTCATAACGACAGAAAAATTCAAGAATAACTTCCTCATACAAACGAAAACAGGAAGTTGCAGAGGTAAACGAACAGACTTAAAGTTCCTTATCCACATGCACCTCTCCTCCTCTATATACCTGCTGGTCAAAGCTCTGCTCTCGTTCACGTTCGTAAAATTCTCTTGTTTTCACCGGGAATTAAGTATTTTATTTCATTCCAAAAGACGTTCAAGTTGATATTTTTAATTGTCCCACGAGAAACGAAATGGAGAAATCGAACGATTCTGGCCGAAATTGGTGGAAATCGACCTGACTAAGTTACCTTTGCAAGAGTTGTCTCGTCAGAAGCAGCAATTGGACCAGTGTGTATTAATTACTTTTGCCATCTGTGCTCCTAAACTCGATCCTCAGGAATCGTGGATGCCTGTCTCACGTTGAACTAATTTCATTTGATTCGTAGGAAATCGCTGTGCTGCAAGACTCGATTATACGTTGAAAATGGCTCAAAGCAAATTTCAAGAATCGAAGAAAAGCATCGAAAAAGCGCAAAAATACGATGTCGGACAGCTCCTCTTAGTTCCTCTCACCGGATCTGTACGTTCTAGAGCTTACCTCTTGCCAGATGCTCTCTTCTATTGCTAACTCGATTCTTTTGCTACAGATGTACGTTGATGGACAAATAGCAGAAAAGGATTCGTTCATATAAACGTTGGCACCGGCTACTACTTACGAAAGGTAACGTCAGGATGTAGTTCATGATGTGATCATTGTTAGATTTAATATTTATTTGCGTTTATGTAGGATGCCGAAGGAGCTAAGGATTATTTTCAGCGTAGACTGACGTATGTACTACGCAAATTGAGAAAATTCAAGCGATTGGCAGCGATCGAAATAGAATTAAAGAAGGTGTGTTACTAATTTCATATTCTCTTAAGCTTTCTCTGGTAAACTGCCGGGTCTGCAGAAGGTGTTTTTTGCACTCACTCGATTCGTTGATTCAGATTTTACGAGTTCTGAGTAAGAACAGTTTTCACTTACTTCAGAACATGTCGAAGAGATCTGAATTCCGAATACTTTTCATTAGAAAGAAAATATTCTCTCTTTTTATTCGGTATTCTGTTCTTACCAAGTCTGGTTGTTAATACGAATTTTTCAAGTTGGTGTCGTTGTTAAGATGTGCTCAAGATCATGGCTTTTTCACTTTGAGACATTCATAATAGTGGTAGAAGGGAGGTGGTAATTGCCATGGAAAAATTTTATTGCCTTCCTTTCCGTGTCTGGTTCCACTGCTTTGATCACACGGGGCCATAAATTTCAACTTTTCTCTCGTGTTCCCCTCAAACTCAGTTGGATATTATTTATTAAGAAATGGAGCTTGAGATGAAGTTTGAACCCAATTGATTTGATTTTACAGCCGGCAGTCCCACAGGATGTTCAAAGTTTTGAAAAAAGGATTTTTCAGAACTTTGGTCAAACTTTCAGCTTTTCAAATAAATAACTTTTGAAGAAAATCTAATGACAGAATCAGAATTATGGGTTATTTATCAGATATGACATGATTATTTTCTCTGTTTCACAGCTATTGTCAGTGTGATACAAGCCAAGATCCAAACGCAGTTACAACAACAACAAGCCAGCAAGGGAAAGGGCGAATGATCAAACGATGTAAATATCTTATTTAATCCCCAACATTAATTAACGTAAGGTTGTAAATATTTACTTACATGCTATTTTGTACTGCAGAATCATCTGTTTCTCATTCTGCTTTTTTGTATCTAATTATTGCTGGAATGTTCGATTCCTGTTTCTACAAGTTTCGTCTCTATGTCGAATTTGAAATCCCTACTCTAATACTTGATCTTTTTCTAAAATAAATCCATTCGAGTTACAGCTTTCTTAATAACACTAGATGTATTTTATACGCTGCTTTTGTTTTTCTTGAAGAAAATTGTGATATTAGATTAATAAAGAAAATGACATCGAGAATAAAACGTTTTTTATTCCCCAACCCTCTCCAGCATAAGTTACTTAAAATAATGTACAACAGTGTGCCTACTCTCTGGCTCGTAGGCGCCAGGCAAATGAGAGAACCATTTTTTTTTTTTTTTTTCAAATTAGCAGAAGTAATTTTTAAACATTTGTCCATTCAAAATTATGATTGTTAGAAACTTCCCATTTGTCTATATTGAGGCAACTAGTATCAAAAATCAGAGCAATCGTAATATCGGGCAAAAAGTGAAGATAAAAATTTAAATTTCAATGTAAAATAGCTCAAAAATTGGTATTTTTAGCAATAAAATGAAAAAAATGTTGGACACTTGTAAAGATTTTTCTTCATCATGTGATGAAAAAATTTAATTTAGACATACCTACTTACTTCAGTTGAATTTTTTTGAAAAAAATTCTAATTCGTGAATTGAAATTTTTTCCCAGCAAATTAACTTTCTTCTAAATTTCAATTTTGCATTATGTGAAACCATAGTCGATCCTTTTTAACATGAAAACTTTAACAAAAAAGTGAACATTTTACCGTAGAAAATGGCCAACCATTCTTAAAAGATGTTATCCTATTGAGCACTTGGAGAATTTCTTCTCAGATTTGATCGACTATTACATCACATGGTATGAAATTAATGAAGCTGGGAAGAAATCTCATTTTTTTAAAGAAAAATTTCGAGTTCAAAAATTAAAATTAAAAATAATTAAATTAGCTGTTCTCTCTACATTCGAATTTCTTTCCAAAAGAATCTAATTTACTTCCAAATTTTATTTTTATACCACATGGTCATGATGCAGAAGTTGATTCTCTTTCAGAGAAATTTTTCACAAACGCCCATCAAGATAACAGATTATTAATTTATGAAAACCAATTTTCCAACTTTTCTTACAATAAGATTTCCATTTTTAATGACTCTGTATTGCATTATTTTGTTTCAATCATCAGAAAAAAAGAGAAAATACAGAAACTGATTTTCAGACATTTTGTCAGAAAATACTTCATAAAAATTCGAGCTCAAGCGAATGAATTTTTCTACCATGCCAATTTGTTTTATTGCAGAGAAATTCTGAACTCACGAAGATGACAATAACAAATATGAAAGCAAAATATTTTATTATTGATCCGACAAATAACATAACAGAAGGAACATTTCTGAAAAATATTTTACAAAAATTAATAATCTTAAAAATTTGGGAATGAAAATAAAATTCTTTCTCTGAGAACTGGCTGAATGATCGAGTAAAAAACAGAAAATATTAAATAAAAAGGTAAATAAAATATTAAATAACCTAAGAAGCCAATAATCGAACGTGATATCAAAAATATGAATTCATTGGACTAGAAAGAACGTAATAGATTTTTGATTTTACTCAAATGTTGTGGCGAAGCTTAACTGGTTCCTATACGTCTCAAAATAAGAAAATATGGCTGCTGGCATTCTTAATTGGCGCAGCTCAGTATTTGAGCGAGTGAAGGATACTTTTCATGAAGTGCGTAACAGCATACACCATCGAACACAAATCACTTTTTTTTCTGTTTCGGCGAAGTCGACTGAAACACGCTCGAAGCGGACATCAGATTTTCGATGTACTGACCCAGAACTTGGTTTTCAGACCTCAGCTTCATGGTTTCATCTTTCACACTCTCCACTCGATGTGATAAATCTGTATTGCAAAAAAAAAACATGAAAAATTTTATCGCAACTAAAATCGAAACTTAAAACTTTTCAATGCCAGAATTTTCCATTCATTCCATGCTTGTGTCGTGTGATGCAAAAAAAAAAAAAAAAAAAAAAGGTGTACTACGAGTACATTAATAAAAATGAATAAAAATCAATTTACACTTTCACTTTCCTTTCACAACGAGAAAATTATATAAAATTGTTACGGTCAGTTACACAGTACCCCTAGGCTCTTCAAACAACCGCAAAAAAAAAAGTAGCTTCAAATTCGATCAAAAATGTAGTACACGTCTCGACCTTATTTCAATATTTACTCAGACCTTAACCCAATTTTCCTAAAGAGGCATGAAATATGTCATTTCAGAAATAAAACGATTACTAAATAATTACGAAGGAAGGTACTTGACGAACTTGACGGCGAAGGAAGGTCCGAAAAAAAAATAATTGAACGTTTCTTACGCCATTTGAAGAGGTATATCTACGAAAAAAATATTTGATGGGGGATTTGAGTA